GCCCACAACGCGGCTTCATGGGAGATTCAAGCATGTGAGCTGCGACAGCGACTGAAGATGCCGGCTGACATGAAGCCGTGGACACCGCACATGCAGGGTACTGGCCTGCCCAAGAGCCCACGTGTGAGTGAGATTCTTGATGTTTTCGCGTGGCAGGCTTTGTTGCAGCGCACCACAGCCTCCGTTGCACTCGGTATGAGCTTCGCAGACAAGAAAATCATGCTGCAGGATGCCTATCTAGATGTCTCGCAGAACCCGAAATTTTGCAGTGTGAACGGCCCTGGAAAGCCTGTGGGCTGTTTGACCACGAGTACAATCCTTTACTCCTACGGCAGGGATCGTGTTCTTGTACCACAGGAGTATATGCTTCTACAAGGTCATCGCCGAGGATACAAATTGCCTGCCTCTGGCAACCAGGTGCGGCAACTTGCAGGCGAAGGCATTTGTTTGCCCGTCCTCGGCGTTGTCATCTGGGCAATGTATCTAATCAAGGGCCTGCCGTAACTGCCTGACCTTTTTACTTCGGCTGTGCAGGGCATGCTGCAGCTTTGGCCATTTAGGTCCATTTTACATCGCATGTGAACATTCGGTGATACTTGTTCTGACACTGAACAGTCGTCTCAGTAGACGCCAATAACTTGTTAGTTTAGTAGCCGGCAGCCAGCAACTAGCTGGCAGCTAGCTAGGCCCTAGGCGAATAACCAGCAGAACATTTATAACTACCAGCAGGAACAGTTCGCAGGTAGCAGGCGCACCAGGTGGCAGGTAGGTAGCAGCTAGTGTAACAGTGTAAGAGCTAGCGATGGCAGCTGATAGGGCTGCTACGCTTGTTGTGTTTCCCGGAAAGGGCCTGCACTGCCGATGAAGCAAGCACCTGAGTACGTGCTGGCAGCTGGCATCCGCACAGCTTAGTCTCCGAATTGGTAATTGCCCTGATCGCTGACCATGGGGACTGGAAAGCACGAAGGTGTTGGTTGGCTTGAACGATAGCAGTGACAACAAGTAACTACCTCATATTCCAGTAACAACGAATGATCTGGATAGCTTGCTCGGTCTTGAGTCTAGAGTCTAGGGCCTGGGGATTGTAGGGACTCTAGGATTCTAGGGATTCTAGGGCCTACGCAGTCTAGAGTCTAGTCTAGTCTAGGCAAGACATTTTGAAAAATCTAAGAATTCTCAATGGACCTGAGGTTTTGGGCCCTTATTTCATTCTAGAGTCTATACTACATACTCTATACTATATGTCTATATCGTCCCTTTGGTCTTCTGCATGGTGTGGTGGTTCTGACGGTCTCCTCAGCACAGTTGCTGTGGTGACGGAAGCTGCAGCTGCACGCCCGGCAGTCTGAAGCAGCGCCATAGATGGCCGGCCAAACCTAGTGACAGCTGTTGCTTGGTGTGCACTGCCGGGTAGGGCCAGGTAGGGTAGCTAGCTAGGCAGCTAGGTCCAGGACGACCAAGCGAAGTGAGTCCTAACCTATGCAACAGCAATTTACAACCCGTAAGTCCTAGGTCTTAGAATCATTAACGGCCAGGGGCCTTTGACCTTTGTTGCCCCACGATCTGAATTCATGTCTATCTTGTCGGCTAAGCTACACGGCTAACCGGCTAACCAATGCCTCCGCAGCAAGTGGTGTAGAATGTAGAGTAGAATAATTGTATGTAATGATGTAACGATGTAATGTTTCAGATCAGCAATTCTGGAACACTGTAGTAGCTACTGTAGATGTAACTAGGGCTAGGCGGCTAGGGCCTGGGGTTTAGGGTGGAGACTAATCAAACATAGTCACAGCCGTAGCCACATGACATAGTCTGACATAGTCGTAGTCGTAGTCATCATCGTTGCCGAGTTGCGGGCAAAGCAAGTTAGGCTAACAGCTAACATTAGTTTAGGTCACGCTTCTTAAGTGCCTGCAACCTTGCAGCATAGCCGTTGTGCCCCACCCCCCCATCAAAGCCGTGGCAGTAGCCAGCAGCTTCACTGTGCAGTGCTTCGCCTCGCCAATTGTGAGCCAGCAGCCACGGCGAAGAAGCCTGAACCATTTGGCCGCCACCCCCTGTGGTTCACAGGAGTCAGGGGTCCCGTTGCTTCAGAAGGTACAGGTACAATTACAAATTCACTACACTGTAGTCACTGTAGTCACTACACTGCAATACGACTTTCGGCCTTTGGCATTAGCAGGTCAGTGTGGCTTATGGCCCAGGACGACTCAGTCTTAAACTTAAGATTAAGGCGATTAGGTGATTAGGGGCTTAATTCGGCAGAATCATCATCATCACTAGTCACTAGTCACTAGTCAGTGACTAGTCATAGTCATGGTTGGTTTGTTATTGTGTGTGGGAGGGTGCATTTAGACAAGTGGACCTGCTAGGCTCTGGTCAGTAACCGCACTAGAATCATACAATGTCATACAGCTCACAAGGCTTCTACTAGATTCTATTTGGGCTCATCTAGAGTCTAGAGTTCAAATCCTTCTTAGACTCTAGACTCTAGACTCTAGACTTTAGATTGCCTTCAGCGGTTCGGAAAAGCAGACTGACTCTTGTGACACGCGAGGGCCTGCCCTAGCACCCTAGCAGCAATTTTCTGTGAACGCACAACAAGGGATGACTGAATGGGTGGTAATCTGGTGAACCTAGTCAATCTAGTTCTAGGTTCTAGTTACTAGTTACTAGTTGTTCTAGTCAGACTACACTGCAGTAAATATGTAGCTGTGCCTGGCTGCTCTTTGAAAATATTCCCATTGACTGGCATTCGTTCACTGATTCGAAGCTGCTTCGACCCATTGCAGCATTGCAGAAACGTACCAGAATCCGAGCCATGGAGCTATGCAGAGAGAGAGAGAGGGCTGAGTAGAGGGAGTAGTGAGTAGAGTAGAGAAGGAGGGAGAGGGACAGAGAGCGTGAAAAACATGTGTGCAAGTGTCTCCGTGGGCACGGACCGCCCAGCAGATACTGTGACAGGACAGCTGTGACGGCGATGACGACGACGATAACAGAGCCAAATAAAGAGATCTGCGAGGTTGGAATGTTTTCAACAGATAGAAGACGAAGACGAAGACTCCATATGTGAGACAACTCCCTCTTCCTGACCTTGCTACTCTTGCCGTCTTAACATGCGACAGTGTAACGGCGACGGTGTGACTGCTAAACTGCTAAGCAGTGACATTCGTGGACTGCAGCTTGCACCAACAGCTTGGACACTGGGCAATTGAAACCAAAGGTTTTCGGCTGACAGACCCGTCAGTACTTTTGTGTCTGAGTTGCTGGCGACTTGCAATGGTTGCCAAGTCGAAAGCGCTCACGCCGGTGCGGGCGAAGGCCAGCCAACAGGCCGCGTGTGAAGTGCATCCGTTAGCAACTAGCAGCTAGCTGCTAGCTAGCACAGCAATAGCCACGAGTGTCCGGTGTACGGTTCACTAATCTGGTTCTCTGACGCCCTACAAATAAACAGCAGCTGTCAAACAGCCCAGCAACTAACAACTAGCACATGCTGTCCTTTGGCTCCATGTCTGGTCGAGTCTAGTCAAGTTAGATTCTATTCTAGGCCTACACGGCTAAGTTAGTACCAGTCAGTCGCTGTAGTTACCATAGTCTAGTCTCTAGTGACTCTTGTCACGTCAATCTCATCGAGTCTAGGCTAGGATATTCAATAGTTCACCCTAGTCACTAGTCGTCTAGCCTTTGTGTAGTCTGTTCCGGTCTCGTCAAGTGGAGTCCAGTCAGGCTTACTTCAGGTTTGTCTATTTAGTCAGTCAGCGAGTCTGGTTGTCCAGTCTGGTCTGGCTGCCTGGCTATCGGCTATCAGATATCAGAACGGAATAACATGCCTCTATTCGACGTAATCGCATAGAACAATAGGTCAATAGGAGTAGTAAACCCAGTAGGCTATGGTAATATATGTGTATAGAGAATATATACCGAATAGCTGTCAGTATTTCAAATATATTTATGTTTGTATGCCAGCACAGAGATATACACATACATGCAAGTATGTGCTGGGCATGTGGCAAGACTATAGAGGCTTACATAGCTCACACGTCTGTGTGTGTTTTAGTGACTCGTGACTAGTGATGCAAGGCAAGGTCCAGTAAGACGGGGGAGTGTAGAGGCAAGTGTAAGTCCGGAGCAATTGGAAGGTGGTGAAGGCGCCTGGCAGCGCCTTGGTCAAGGCCAAAGCCCCACAGCCGCCAGCGGGTGTCCGAAGGGCAGCAGCAGCTGCAGCGAGGCCAAGCACGGTCTTGCACTGCCCGGCCTGTCGCAGGCCGTCCACCGCGGCTTGCAGAAATGACGGACGTTTCATGTCACTACACTACACTACACTAGAATAGCTGCTAGCTGCTAGCTGCCTAGCTACATTACCCTACGCTACATATCACTGCTGCACGTGTGGCTAAGGCTAGGGTACCCAGGAGGTTTTGTTGCTTCATTGCAGCGTACGTCTATTGGCTGATCCAAGGCGGTCCCATTCGTCACGGACAGCAGAGGCATACCCACGAGTCCGGGTGATGTCTTTTGCATGGCAGCAGGGAAAAGACTATGCCCGAATCATACATTCGAGCAGTTTGGAGTCATGGTGAATGATCCTGATGGACATCCCGAGTTGGTGAAGGCTTTCCCAGCAGCACGCGACGAAATCGTGCGTGAGGATCTTGCCCAGAAGGATGGAGGAGCCCTCCCGACATTCTTGCCACAGAACGAGGTCAGCAAGAACACCGTCCATGGCTACTTGATCTACCGCAAGTACGGGCTGCTCACGTTGGCGCAGTTCACGAAGATGTTTGGGAAGACGCCTCAGCAGCTGGGGCTCAACATGATCCAGCTCGCGGATGGGAGCAAGTACTTCCTGATATCCCTGGACTGCCTCCCGTGTGCGTCGCAGTCTAGTCTAGCTAGCAGCCTAGCAACTTAAGGAATATGGCAGCTTAGCTATAGAGGCTAAGCCGCCGCCACAAGCTGGAATGTTTGTGAGTTTCTTTGTAATTGTAGCGCCAAACATCATGCAACAGGACGGGCTTTCCGAAGCGGTGCGGGACAGCATTTCGAAAATCAAAGTGTACATCGAGAGCGGCCTGGAACGCCGAGACGTGTTCTTGAATGGCTCGACGCAACTCATGCCGAAGCAAGGCAACGAAGTCTTCGCATGGATGCAGAACACCTTCGGCGATGGCATGCCGAAGCTCACAACAATGCCAAAGACAGCGGACTACATCGAGGGATTGGCCGCTCGCTTGGAGAACGAGCTCTCGTCCCAGATCGAGGAGCAGCGGCTACAGGAGCTCGAGAACCAGCTAGACTTTGGGCCAGAGGAAGAGCTTGACCCTGAAGCACAGGCGCGAGTCCTGCAGAAGTCCTCGCTGCTGGACTCCATGCAGTTTGATGGAGAGCGGCCAAGCAAGAAGAAGAAAGTTGCTGCTGCAGCTGGGAAGCTCGCTGCTGCGGCTGTGCCGTGTGGGCCTCCGTCGACGATTGCTGCGGGTTTGAGTTCCGCTTCCTGCCGTCCTGCGTCGGACAGCGCCGCCATCTTGGACGGTGCCTCAGTGACGTCCGCAGGATCCAAGAAGACGAATAAGAAGCTGGATGCTGAGTTGCTCGCCCTGGATGAGGACATGCAGATGGTGGCGCAGTTCCACATTGAGCACGGGAGCAAGTCTGGCTCTGTCAAGTCATTGGCAAATCTTCGCATCGAGAACTTTATGTCCCAGACTGGAGGCCATGACGCAGGACACGCCCTGCCGGCCGTGCCTGGCCTCAGCTGTTTCCGGTCCTGGTACTGGTTCCATGCAACATTTGATGGACTCATGTTGTTGGCTCATTATTGGTGTTTGCGGTAAGAATTCAGAGCATTGAGAGGCCATGCAGAGTTGAGTATGAGTAGCTGAGTAGCAGAGTAGCTATAGCAGTAATGTCGCTCGCTCGTGTGTCACAAACTTTTGCAGAGTTTGATAGACAGCTTTTCTCCAACTTTGCTGGTGTTATTGTCACAATGCTCACAGGCCGACCGGCCATGCCCGTAGCAGGGTTGGAGTAGCTGAGGAGTAGCTCAGCTCATACCCTCTTAGTTCGTAGCAGCGCCATTAGCAGCAGTAGCTGTCAGTTCTTGCCGCGTCAGTTTTGCAGTCGCCTGTTTGTCACAAGGGTTTGCAGTTGCAGATTGATAGACTGATTGGGAACTTGTTTCGAACTGTGCTGGAGTGGAGTTTGTTTGTATGACAATGAGTCTTGAGAGGGCATATGCGACACATAGTCACACAGTCTCTCAGTCTATGTCTATGTCGTGCGCACATATGTATAATTTGGTTCTCCCAAGATAGTGACTGACTGAGCAGTAATAATAATAATAGTAGTAAGTAAGTGTTATCAACAGATCCTGCCATTGCATAGAAATGCATTGGTGTTGTCCTGGCTATGACTTTGTAACAGCAGGCAGCAGGCAGCAGCCGTGCTGAGAAGCAGCACTGGGACAATGGATCGGCTCGACTGGTAGGTAAGGCAGCTAGGGCGCTAGGCAGCTAGGAGTGAGTGCTGCCGGTTGTTTGATATTTGATAGTCAGACAGTCAGATGATATAATCACAGGCGTCCTGTTCAGTCCTCATCGCAGCTAGCAGCTAGCAGCAGGCAACTCGTGATTCGTGAATCATTCCATTGTGAAACCACTCCTTCTGTTTCTTCGTGGCCGACGGCGGAGTGTGATTGTGACTCATGGTGGTTTGCGGTTTGCGTTTGAGTCTAGTCACTAGTCAAGTCTAGTGCAGTCAAGTCACCAGTCACTAGTCACTAGTCTGGTCTATGTCTATGTGTCTGTCCAGAGTCTTCTAGAATCTAGGCCTAGGCTGAGGTCTAAAGTCTAAAGTCTTGGTCCTTGGTCCTTAGGCCGACGTCTACTACTATAGGCACTATAGTCTATAGAAAACAGTACATAGGGACATAGGGTTGAGTGTACAGTGTACAGTGTACAGTGTCTTGAGTCCTCAATCTGCAACTGTGAAAGTTTGGTGACGAGTGATTTATTTTGTTTGAGTCAGACAGTCAGGATTGGTACTGGTAGGGTCTCTAGGACTCTAGGACTCTAGGATCGACGTCAGGGTCGAAACTTCAAGGAGCATAGGCATAGCTGAGGGCCGAGTAGATTCGTCGAGAGCCCGGAAAATGCAGAGATATAGATAGTGGGTTTGAGGTCATAGAGTCTGGTAGAGCTGGCTGCTGGACCCGTTGGAGCAGGGCGAATAGGAAATTGAATAGGGCCGAATAGTGAACAGGGTTTCAAACTCCTGCAGGTTCACACGTCACAGGTCGAGTGTTATGTTATGCTGTTATGAGTGTTTGCGATAGCTTATAGGGTTCAGAGTTTCAGTTTCGACGTTCAGGCTTTAGTTTAAGTTTAGTTTAGAATTATGGGGCCTTTTTTGGGGCCTTTGGGGTTTTAGGTAGGGATTAGGACGAGGACTTTGTTAGGATTACAATGAGTAGGTTGAGTAGAGTCTAGGTCACCTGTTTGAGCACGTATCGCGAGACCTATCCGAACCTATCCTATTGAACCTATTGAGCATGCGAAGTTGTAGTATCATCGCATCTCAGGCCAGGAAGATCCGTGACAACATGGTGAAGTATGCCGGCGACTCCCAGCAGTATCGATTGCTTTCTTCCCGGATTCGAAGCTGCGAAGTGACCCAGCTGCTTGCGACAAACTCGGCCCAGACTTTGGTGGAAGCCGCAGATGCAGATGAACGCATGAAGCTGCTCGAGCCTCTGGCCTCGTCCTTCACATGGTCCCTCCAAGCCAAGCTGGGTCTCATGTGTGCCATTCGAACTTTTGCGGCCTTTCGGAACGACCTCGAGTCCACTGAGGGGGAGCTGAGCCAACAGCAACGCGAGAGCAACTCGCAGATCATCGTGGACTGTGTGTTGCCTAGTCTGACCAAGGCTCCTTGGCAGTACGAAACGCCTTGCCTGGGCTCCTTGCTGAATGATTGCATGCAGAAGCTGGAGCACACGACAGAGGCCATCGCCACGGGCATGGATGAGGAGGAGGAAACGGCGCAGGCAGCAATGGATGCTGCGGTGAAGGAGTCTAAGAAGATGTTGCAGGACTGGGGGTACGG